GGACTTCTTAAAGTGACATTAAAGTAACAAAATGTTTTTCCCTCCCCCAAATGTTGAGTAAAACACTTACCCTAAACGATTTCTCTTAATCCGATCTTACTCTTCTTTCCTGTCCTTTTTAGCCTTCTCTCCAGCGCTGCTGCGGGTCTCCGATCCAGCGCTGACTCCTCTGTGCTTGCTGGCACTTCCTGTCACACAGTGTCTGAATGCGGGTGCGCGCGTCCATAGATTTACCTTGTGTCTCTCCTCGTCTCCCGGCCGAAAATCCGAACTGCGCATGTGCCCGGCCCAAGATGCTTTGCGGCCGCCCGAGCAGTTTCGGATTTTCGGACGGGAGCGTGCGGCGAAGACAGTTTAAGTTTAAACCGCTTTTAAAGTGTTTTTTTTGTTTTGGTTTTTTTTTACAAACTTTTTCCATATATCTACTGCTTGCTAGCAGTAGATATATGCAAAAAACCGGAGGGTTTAGAAACCCTTTAAGTTGCGATTGTTTTGTTAGTTGATGCTCCAGTTTCAGACAGCCGCAGAACAAGTGCAGATGTAAACAGTTGCGAACGATTGAAAAACTAGTACAAGCTCTGGTCAAAACAGGCGCACATGTTAAAAGACAGATTGGCACATAAAACAAATGATCTAAGAGGCTAAAACTGTCGCATGTGATCTTATAAATTCCCCCCACTCTGTTTCCTGGTAGAAGTCTGCACCTCATACTAAGGCCCCTTTCACATGGGCAGTCCGCTCGGGTCCACCTGTCAGCTTTTCAAACGGACCCGATCAGATGCCCAATGTAAGTCTATGGGCATCTGGGTCTAAACGGATGGGTGTTTTACCGGTTACCCCGACTCAGGCCAAGTCTGGAAAAAGAAACGGGACAGAGTTCCCTTTCTCTGGATCTGATCGTGCCGAAACAGGGGTCATCTGATGTAAAAAACACATGTCCGTTTACATCTGATTCCCCATATACAGACATGCGGTCCGACAGTTTTAGATCTCTCTGCCATGGCAAGATGGAATAAAAAACAGGCAGACATGGATGTCACAATGGTGACATCCAGAATCCATACAGCTCCGATCAGGAGGGAAACCATGCACAAATTTCCTCCTGATCAGCCTCCGTGAAAGGGGCCTTACTTTCAAGAATGTGCATATAATTAAATGAATATATTGACACAGACGGCATCCATTCCAATCAGCAGGTGATCCGTGGACAGATCAGAGTGGAATGGATTTTAGTGTTGTGACATCCGTGTCCGTTTAGTTGTTTGCTCCATCTTGTGACCCATGTTAGTATATGGCAGGCAGATGTAACAGACATCCATCCATTAACATCCTTTTACCTTTGATACATCACATTTAGGTTTGAACACATGGAAAGGGATGCAAAACTTTTCCTTTTTTTTTTTTCTGACCTAGGCGGAGGTATTTCGGCGTAAACAAACAAATGCTTGCCCATAGTCTAAAGCTCACCACACATGTTACAATCTGATTGTACAATCTCCTTTAGATCTACCAACAACTATTGCAAGGGGCTGTCTGATTGGATACAAATTGATTGGATAGACAAGGTAGGTCCTCATATTACATAGTTTTGGTAAATCTAAAGTCATTTGTACAAAGAGTGTGCGTTAATATTGTAATGTGTGTGGTGACCCTAACATTGATCTTCCAATGAGATCCGCCTGAAAAACTGACAGGCAAATCTGATCACAACTCCCGTGTAAAAGTGGCTTTAGTAGATGTAGATGTCATTAAGTTTTTTTTTTTATTCAGCATCTGAAAAGTGCCATTTAGCCCCTGTTCACACCTGTGCATTGCAACATCTCATGTCCGTTGCAGCTCGTTTTTACTGTGTTGCAGTAGGACAGCCAATTCATTTGAATGGACTGCCTATTGCATCTGAATCACAGTAAAGAAGTGCATGAGCCTCATTGTATAAATTTCACTGCACCACAGCTCATAGTAATTGCCATGTGTTGTGGTGCGATGCAAAGCAAGTGCAATAGCTGGATAAGTGGGGGTGTCATTGAAAAAAATAAATGCACTCAGTGCAGCTAATAGTGCCACATGTTACTACCTTGTGCAGTGCAGGAAGCCATGTGTTCCTGCATCATATCAGGGGTGTGGAATTCCTATCGCCCGACGCCCGGGACATGCAGTAGTTTATTTTACATTTAGCCCTGCTCTGGACAAGCACAGCTAAATGTACAGCGTGGGGCCGCCGCTCGTTTTTATACAAGTGATCTAATTCGATCACTTGTATGAAAGGATCGGCGGCTATTGTGTCCGGTCACCGCCGCCGTGATCACGGCACACAGGGGGAGAATCCCTGCAGGGAGCCGTGAGTGACAGTTACGGCTCTCTGCAGGGACAGGATCAAGAAGTGAGCGAGCGACGGTATGTGTTCTCTCACTTCCTGATCTATTGAGCCGACCTCTGACAGTTTAATTGTCACACGTCAGCTCGGACTATGACGCTGAGTGAAAATCACTCACCTCATAGTCCTCCTTTTAAAGAGCAAGCTCACTTTCCCAAGTAATATGGGAAAATGGAATCACCCAATCAAATCTGAACCCCCCCCCTCCCCTTCCCCCCCGGCTATACTTACTTTTCGGTGAACAGTCCTTACCCTCCGCCTGTACAGTCCAGCCCTAATGCATTATGAATTTTTTTGCTTGCAAATTGCAAGCACTCATTGGTCAGCGGGGTCAGGTGACCATGCTGACCAATGCGAAGCACTATTTAGCACAGTCAAATACAATTTTGATTAGGGATGCACCAATACAGAATATTTGGGCAAGTACTTGTACTCGCCCAAATGCTCCGATACCTTCCCCAATACTGGAGCTTCTGGTCAGCGGAAGATTTCCTCTGACCGGCAGTGCCGTAGGGGAACATGGAGCCAGCTTCCTGTGCAATCAGAAAGCGGGGCAGCGACTAATGACCCACCCCGGTTTCCTGATTGGCTGGGAAGCCGGCTTCCCGGCCAATCAGGCCATTATTTACCGCCTGGTTTCCTGATTAGCTGGCTCGATGCTGATTGGCTGGGAAGCCGGTTTCCTGGCCAATCACGATCAAGCCGGCCAAACAACATGGAGTTGGCTTCCCTGGCAATCAGGAAGCTGGGTAACATGTAATTACCTGCTGCCCAGCTTCCTGATGGCATGGAGCAGGCTTCCCGGGCAAACAGAAGCACCGATACTCGGTATCGGCCAGTACCCAAACCAAATTATCAGTGCTCGTACTCGATACCCAAAAACCTATATCGGTGCATCCCTAGTTTTGAGTAAAACATATTTTTTGTAATGGGACAAGTAGATTGTCATGAGGGACAAGTAGATTCGGCCCCCGCTTTAGCCCTTGGACAAGTAGTTCTTTTTTTTTTACTTTTCCACACCCCTGCGTATACTGTAGATGGGTACAAGATTTTAAAGTGCCTTCTTTTATTCACCTACTATCTCCCAGTGCATTCTGGGAATAGTTTGGGCACCTTTCGATTATTAAAGCTGAACTCCAGGATAAGCAGGAGGCAAGTGTATTCTTACTTGAATCTTGGTGTGCTTTGTGTAATTTTGTGCTGTAATTCAGTTGTGTGAATACTTGCCTCTGTGCAGGAGGCAAATGTCCTGAAGTTTTTTGCAGGCCTCTCCCACAGCTCTGCTCT